GCTAGAAGGGGTGATGTCCGATGGTCAGGAATAATGAGGCAATGGAAATCAAGAGTGGAAGGTGTTCGTGATAACAGCCACCGTGGGGAGATGGAGCAATGAAATCAGCTCATAAGTGGGTCCCGTGGATTTGTTGCATCGCGGAACTGTGGATTGATCATTGGCTGATGATGATCGGGGCTTAGTTTCTTTCTAGATATTTTCCGAAACGCTGCTAAGACGAGCTTGGAGTAGGGATTATCGACGTAAGGCACTGCCACTAGAGTACAAGGAACAACTATTCATGTTAACTCGCCTTTTGCCCGTCCAAGGACGGGTGTATTGCAGTAAATCTGAAAGTTGGAAGCGAAAAGCAGACCGGGACGTGATATATTCATTGCATCAATTTGTGTGCAATTTGTAAGGGCGCGGTGACACGGAGCTATTTCATTTCAAGGTTATAATCCCTTGTTCATCATGACGTCCTTTTTACTTCGACATCTCAACAGCGTGACGGAGACCGCGTGACGTGAGGGTTCTGCCTTTGTAGTGAGGGCTGTGAGTTGACGCCGAGGAGGGGGGAGGAGGCGCCTCGCCCCATGTGGAGTGACGTCACCTGTTCATGACATCACCTGCTCATGAATATTAATGAGGGGGGCTGTTCGTTGTGGAGTGACGTCAAATGCTCATGATTATTAATGAGGGGGGCTGGTTGACGTGGAGTGACGTCACGAGCGTTGCACACAGACATTCTTGGTAATATTAATGGGGGGGGTGTTCATTTGGAGGACATCACCTGCTCATGAATATTAATGAGGGAGGCTGTTTGTTGTGGAGTGACGTCACATGCGCATGATTGTTAGTGAGAGGGGGGAGTACTCAATATTGAGTGACGTCAGCCACTCATGATTATTAATGAGGAGGGGTGGGAGGGGTGTCCATTTAGAGGACGTCACCTGCTCATGAATGAGGGGGGCTGGTCGATGTGGTGACGTCACGAGCGTTAAGGGAATTCCTCGGTGATTATAGTCAGTATGCTGTATTATTCAACCCTGAAAACTAAACACTAATCATGGTTGAGTATTACATGCCAACCTTTGTCCTCTTACTTGTGGCGTGTGACACATGTAGTGAGTACAAATGGAGAGCGAGGCTTCTCTGGAGGAAACACGTTTATACTGGTAGAAACCTCCTGGTTACACCAGCCCACAGGGGATTATTGTGTCCGTCGTGCAGGGAGGGGCTGGGTGGGGAGGGAGGGGCTGGGTGGGGAGGGTGGGGAGGGGCTGGGTGGGGAGGGTGGGGAGGAGCTGGATGGGGAGGGTTTTGCTGGGTGGGGGGTGGGTGGGGAGGGGCTGGTCACCCCGTGGTGCCCTTATAAAACTCAATGTTTAACCTACTCACGCCGGCTTGTGCCCGCCCTCACAGTCGGGCATATTTGCGGAATACACCACGCCGCCGTTGACCCTGGCCATTGACCGAGCAACCCAACGTTCCTACCAGCTCCCTGTTTATGACAATACACTCCAACACAAAGGGGTAGCTGCCCCTTCCACCAGGTAACCTGGGGAGGTCGTCCCTCTGGGCTAACGAGGCACTAACACAACTGGGGGAGGCTGTCAAGCCTGGACCCCAACTCGAGTCCGGGTCACGTCTTCATGTCTTGAGTTGAACAACGGGGCTTCCTCCGCCCCTAGGCACGCATCCCTTCTCGAACCTTCCAGAGGCATCTGGAACCAGTCCCGGGGTCCCCCAGCCCCCTCTTTGGGGGCCCCACCCCCGGTACCTCCGGCTACTCGCCCTCCGGGTTCATCCGGAGAGCCATGGCCCCCTGTCACCCCTGCGCCGCTTCAGGCGCTCTCGCCCCCTAGCCTTTAGGGGCTGGCACTGCACACGGAGTGCAATGTCGCACAACTGCCGTGCTGTGTGGGTGGTGTGAGCAGCGTGTCCCCTGCTTCACACACAGGCCAGTCTTAGGTGTCATGCAGTGGCATCCCCCGATGCCACTACACATACATCAGAATTTGATATTTGGAGCAATAAATGTAAAAAAAATCGATGTTTTTGGCTATTTTTGTTGTGTGAGCTGATTAATTGCACGCTTCGTTGGCGCCGATCGATGCTCATCTGTGTATGGCTCAGGATAATAGCGTCAGGAGTAGGTACGGCGCATCGATGCTGTGATGACACCTCCTTCGTAATCGTCAATCGGCCATGCAGTCGCAAAATGTTGTGGGTGACCACAGTTGCCGCACACTGCCGGAGAATTGTAACAAACACATTCCTGTGGAGGGAGCTGGTAGGAACGTTGGGTTGCTCGGTCAATGGCCAGGGTCAACGGCGGCGTGGTGTATTCCGCAAATATGCCCGACTGTGAGGGCGGGCACAAGCCGGCGTGAGTAGGTTAAACATTGAGTTTTATAAGGGCACCACGGGGTGACCAGCCCCTCCCCACCCACCCCCCACCCAGCAAAACCCTCCCCATCCAGCTCCTCCCCACCCTCCCCACCCAGCCCCTCCCCACCCTCCCCACCCAGCCCCTCCCTCCCCACCCAGCCCCTCCCTGCACGACGGACACAATAATCCCCTGTGGGCTTGTGTAACCAGGAGGTTCCTACCAGTAAAAACATGTTTTACTTCACCATTATCATGATCACCGTCGCCATGTATTCGTACATTTTACCGCTGCTGCTGCTGCCATGGTTTGAGTTGCTTCCCATGCATTTCGCCGAAGATCCTAAGCCTGCAAAGTTATGGCTGCAAAGTTTGGTCGTACATGCTATATATATCGTTTATTGTGAAATTTAAATCACAGTTCCTATGATTACTGTTGTTACATTGTTTTTATAGCGTTATTTTGGTGATTTCGAAAACATATGGGTAATCTAAATTGTATTATGGTTGTTATTGTTTGACTTGCATCACACTGGGATTTTTGCAAAAAACGGCGGGGTTTTTTCTGGAAGATTTGCTGGTTTATCCGGGATGTTTCTGTTGCGCGTCGTCGCTTTAAGATGTTCCCCGTTCATATTTTGTTTGTTGCGGTTGCAACCGATTTAAGAGCCGAAATGCTCACAGGGCGATACCAAATAAATGAAACTTGAAGCCGGCCAGGAGCCATCCTTTGTGTCACCTCCCAATGGTCTTGGACGGGGGCAACCAGCAGCTGACCGCGTGTTCCTCCCGTCGTGTTGTCACGGCGGCACAGTCGCAAGTGGAACTATAAATACTGTGTGCATGCATGTACACATTTCTCATTTTCCACTCACATACCTGTAAACCCATACGGTTTACTCGTATTCTTGCACAGGGAAATTGAGCTTTCAGGTCCAAACGGCGTATAGCCGTTTCAATACGGGCAAAATGTTTTTGTCTATTTGTTTGTGTTTCTCCCTTGTGATGGGACTTTGCAGGATGAACGCTGATATTTATAAGGGGCAGGGTGTGACCAATAAGCTCCGAATTGGTCCGTAATAAGGGGTTGACAGTGATGCGCACTCGTGGAGTCGTCGAGATGTATGGCCATGTTTTAAATAAGAACGATCGAGAGAGAAACTCCCACCACCCCCCACCACCACCCCCACCACCACCGCCCTCCATCACCGCCCACCACCCCCACCCTCCATCACCGCCCACCACCCCCCACCACCACCACCCCCGCCACCACCCTCACCACCCCCTACCACCACCCGCCCAACCCCCCCACCACCACCCCCTTACCATTACCCCCACCACCACCCCCTACCACCACCCCCCACGCCCTACCACCACCCCCCACCATCCCCCACCACCACCACCCCCCACCATCACCCCACCACCCCACCCCCAATACCACCCACCACCCCCCTCACCCCCTACCACCCCCCACCACCGCCCCCCCCCCCCACAATCCCCCCCCCACCACCCCAATTACCACCTCCCACCACCCCCACCACCAGCCCCACCCTCCACCACCGCCCCCCACAACCACCACCCCCTACCCCCCCCCACCACCACTCCCCACCACCCCCCACCATCACCCCCACCATCACCCCCCCCCACCAGCCCCACAACCCCCCACCACCCCCCACCACCACCCACCACCCCCCTCACCCCCTACCACCCTTCACCACCGCCCCCCCCCACCATCCCCCCACCACCACCCCCTCACCACCCCCCACTACCACCACCACCTACCACCACCCCCCCCACCACCCCCCCACCACCCCCCACCATCACCCCCACCACCCCCACCACCCACCACCACCCCCCATCACTCCCACCACCACCCCCACCACCACCCCCACCCTCCCCCACCACCACTCCCCACACCCACCCACCATCCCCACCACCCCCTACCACCACCCCCCACCATGACCCCCCCCCCACCACCACCTCCCACCACCACTTCCCACCACCACTCCCCACCACCCCCCACCACCACCACCACCCCCAACCCCCCCACCACCCCGCACCACCACCACTCCCTACCACCACCATCACCCCCCCCCACCACCACCCCCACCACCACCCCCCACCACCACCACCCCCCACCACCACCCTCCACCACCACCACCCCCCACCACCACCACCCCACCCCCCACCACCACCACCACCCCCACCCCCCCACCATCACCCCCCCCCACCACCACCACCCCCCACCACCACCACCCCCCACCCACCCCCACCACCACCCCCCACCCACCCCCACCACCACCCCCCACCACCACCCCCCCACCACCACCCCCCACCACCACCACCCCCCACCACCACCACCCCCCACCACCACCCTCCACCACCACCACCCCCCCCCACCACCACCCTCCACCACCACCACCCCCCCCCCCCACCACCCCCACCCCCCCACCATCACCCACCCCACCACCACCACCCCCCACCACCACCACCACCACCCCCTAACCACCCCCCACCAAACCTCCTCTCTATGACGTCGGCAGCAGCCGGGCCCAGGGGTTTCCCTGCGAAGCTCCTCCCCCTTCCCCCTCCTCCTGCTCCTATTCGCTGAGCCGGCGGCGCCGCGTGTTGCGGTCGTCTTTGTGTGTGCGCGCGTCTGCCTGTGGTACACACGCTTACACACACACGCGCGTTTACTACTACGACTACTCTGTGTGTGTGTGGCTTGCGTGAGTGAGTGAGTATGGGTGGTAGGTAGGTCGTCACGGCCCTTCAGTGTGTCTACAATAGTTATATTTAGTGCTGTAGTGACGCGGGCTGCCGGTACAAGCTATGAGCAGCGATTCGGAGCAACGTGGAGCCCTCATGGAGCCGCTCTTGTCTCGCACGGTACGGTCGAGCAGATGAATGTACAACACAATACGTGCACAATGTATACACGCACATGATACACACACGAGATACACATACGGTACACACACATGATACACACACACACGATACACACACACACGATACACACACATACGTCCTACAACACACGCGTAAATATACCACTAACACACCACACATACAACAAACACACACCACACATACAACAAACGCTCCACACACACACCACACATACAACACACACCACACATACAACACACACCACACATACAACACACATACAACACACAGACACCACACATACAACACACATACAACACACACACACCACACACATACAACACACACACCACACATACACCACACACAACACACACACATACAACACACACCACACACACAACACACACACGGCACATACAACACACACACCACACATACAACACACACACCACACACACACACACACACACACAACACACACGCATACAACATACACACCACACACACAACACACACACTCCACACATACAACACACACACGCGGATCACACCGTAACACGCTGTTCTTTGTTTAGCTCCATCTAACCTATAATTATCATCATCCTCGCTGCGGATAACATAAACACAATAGATACGCCGGACAATGCCTCCCCTCTACATGCATCTTGCCCTTGCACGTAAAATATAATGGTATTGTAATTGTGCAGTATTTACATGTAACATCATCCATGGGTCTCTACCAATATTGGGGTATTGCTGTCCTGTACTGTCTAGTACTCACCACGTGTTACTCTGGCTAAGGGTAAAGCAACCACAGTTGTATGCCACAAATATTGGTTTGCACCGCTTGTGATCACCATCATCCCATTGTCTGTCTCCACTGCTGGATGAAAGCCTCCCACGCAGTCCCCACGGTTCAAGCTGCTGCCGCCCCAGGCACGTGTCACACGCAGGGATGTATCGATCACAATTGACACGAGTAATTGTTGTGTTGTTCACACAGTGGGTGACGTACTATATATTAGTCTCGGTGAACACAACAGTCTGAAGCACGTATAATAATACCGTGGGAAATGTTAAATTAACCACTCGCAATACGTAATGGTCTGCTGTCAAAACGTAATCACATTTACCTTGTGGGTATGGAACATTGACCACACTGGGTGATATTACTGTACTGTGCTGTACACTACCCCACATTTTACATGGAAGATGTAACAATATAGTACAGCACCTTCCTTACAAGGTGCTGTAACATGTGCCGCACAATGGAATTAGTATTACTACTCACATGCTCAGAGTGTAGCCTACATACTGTATATGTCATGGGCCCTCTTTTGTCAGTACCAAAATATGGGAATAGGTCCCCCCCCCCTTTTTTCTGGCAACAAAACAGGTGTTGAGATGTTAAAACACCAAAGTGAAACCTTTGACGAGGAATCGTGTCTGCATTAACCACAATGCTTGTGGTCAGAATGCAAAATAAAAAAAAACTCTGATAAATTTCGATTTAAAGCTTTCGTGACTGCAAGGATTCATATTATTGGATCTTTCGGTAAAGGCACGCATAAGGGAAATAATAAAACAATAAAAATAAAACATTCTAATATATCATAATACTCTGATAATACATGCATTGTCCTTGAAACTGATTGGTCCACACCAGAGACAGCTTTCTTTTGAGCCTCGTCTCAAACGGTGTTAGACCAGAGGATGCCAAAAGGGGAAAACCCTATTATACTATATATGGTTAATGTTACATCAACATTCATAATCAACGTTTTTGGGTTTAGATCGCGTTTATTTATAAATGTGTCGTAACCCTCCACCACCCGACACGGCCAATCAGTAAAATGTGTCACGTTGACAAAGACAAATAGTTCACTGCTTTAGCCCACCGGTGTGTTGAAGCCACAACATTTACAATTTGAGTACGACGTTTCGCTGGTACATTACAATTACTTATAAGGGAAACAACCACTAACTGATTACTAATGTAGCATAATCACAAAAAAAACATTCCAAATGATTACTAATCTACAACTCGCATCGTAACAATAGCCTGATTACTAATCTAGTATATAATTACAATCACTCCCCCCTTGAATCTTTGCACCTGATGAGTTGATGAGTTAATGATGACGTCACCCTGCTGCTGCTCTATATAAGAACGGGAGACAGCAGAGCCTCACCATTCTGGCGAATTGCCCGATGATGCTGGTTGCAATTACCAGCGAAACGGCGTACTCAAATTGTAAATGTTGTGGCTTCAACACACCGGTGGGCTAAAGCAGTGAACTATTTGTCTTTGTCAACGTGACACATTTTTACTGATTGGCCGTGTCGGGTGGTGGAGGGTTACGACACATTTATAAATAAACGCGATCTAAACCCAAAAACGTTGATTATGAATAACATTGGTCACGAAAGCCTACGTGTTAAACTTACATCAACATTGTCCGCGTTTGACTGTACCTTCGTGTATGGTCAATGCATGACTATCACATTGCCCCATTATGCATGGTTTACATCCAGTGTTAATAAAGTTATGACTTTCTTTACGAATGTTGCACTGCCCATGGTGATCGTGGGCCCACGTGTGGTTAATGTTACTTGGTTAGTACTCTGAATACCCATGGGCAAATTAGACCTGAAAGTGAGTATTGAAATGATTGTGGTCATTGTTACATCGCCCATGGTAAATGTGGTTAATCTCATTGGTGACATCACCCATGGTATTTGTGGTTAGTGATTTTATAGAAGATCATAAGGAGCAGAGGGCAGGGCCTCAAAATCCATTGTTGCATTGTACCTCTATGCTCCCCACGTCTGACCAGCATGGTGACATGTGGTCAATCAACTGTAAGATCTACATCCTTTGTCGCAAAGCCCTCATCCAGCAGTAGATTGGCAAAAGGACTGTGATGTACATGGTACGGTGTAACTCAGTGTGTCCCATATTACAGTAGTAATAGTGAGTGTAGTCTTCTGGTATAATGTAATGATGCATATTCATGTGCCCCAGGGTTGATGTGGCTCTCAGCGTGGTGAATATTATATTATGCATGGTGAGTATGGCTCCCAGAGGGTTAATTTGTCATGATGCTATTGACGGTATGTTCCCATGGTGCGCATTGCTGGCAGTGTGGTTAACTTTAATATGTAAGTGTGGACTGCTGCTTGGTTAAGTTTACGTGAGCAATGCTAAGTGTGGGCTACAGTATGGCTCGTGTTGTATAGTCCTTATTAGCTTTAAAAGGAAAAAATATATATATAGAGGTGACGTTTTAGGCAATGCCCCTTCCTCATAGCACACGTCGAATGGCTCACAGTGTGATGAATGATGCATTAGCAAACACCAGTGGTGAGTATTACATGTGAGTGAAATACAAATTAACATCATAGCCCGTGGTGAGTGTACATCCCCATGCTGTGTGATTAAACACGAATGTCATGAACCCGTCCGTGGTGGGTTTGGGGGCCCTCCTGGTGGTTACTGAAACCCAGCATGAGCGTTGCATATTCCTATGGTGTGGTACACCACTCTTGGGGCATTTACATTATAATGCTCAACTTTACCCAGTGAGTGTGGCTCCCTGTTGGCCAGTTAACGTTACAATCAGTCATTCAGCTCTCCTGAACCTCATTGAAATGAAACTTAGAAAACCACCCTAAAATGGGAACTCATATTCTGGGCCGTGGAGGAGTGTGAGATCTTGGCCTCTTTATTCTGAAGGTTCGTCGGGGTTGGGCTGTTGTAGGGTTAGGGACATCCTTTGTGTTCGTTTGTTTTTCATCATGAAATGTTAACTGATTCTCCGATGATGTCTTATGACTGGAATCGTAGACCCAACCAACGTTGCTTCTTGTCACAGGTATTGTAATTTCTTGTGCCCTATTTTGACGTTGCTGTGTGTGTGTCATAAATAATTGTATGTGCACTTACTTCATTCATGTAAACGGATTGTATACGTGCATATATGTGGTACGCAATCGATTGTTTGTGACAATTATTTGTGACGTTTCTTTGACACGTGAGACCTGTACAACGTACCGTACACTATACATTGTATATATAATACTAGAGTATTATATTGTATAAATATACTGCGGTGTTTCCCACTGTTGCATATACTCTACAATATACAGATAAAGTGCTACTATAGAGTATATGCATTACTGGTATGCACATGTTACAGCCCTTTGTCAATTCACTGATGGATGAGCATCGTCCCATGCTGTGTGAGTCAAAGGGGGTTATTTTACCATTCACCACGCTGATCAGTGTCGATTGAAGGCCGGGAGAATATTTGTGGATGCATAGGAGTCCACTATTTTTTTGCACTTCTACGTAGTCCCACAGCCTATAACATCCTGCTGTGCATTGTGGTTGTCCATCCAAGCACTGATCAGCTTCTGAGATCGGATGCATGCTGTGTAATGTGGTCGTAGGCAGCACTGTTATATTGTCCTCCAGTGGGTGTGTGGCAGATGTCAATGTACCACAATACTTGAATAATGTTGCTTTCTATAAGCGCTATTAATAACCAAATGACGCAGTCAGACATCGTAGTGAGTGCATGTGTTGCACAGCCCATAGAAAATTATGAATCCGTGACTACAGGATGCTGTTGTACCGCTCTCAAGCCTGCTGAGTAAATATTACAACACCTGTACCTGCAGCTCTGCTTTCTGTCACGTCATCATTGCCAGGATATGTATACAAAAATATATCCTGTATATCAAATACTTTCTTGTGGCATTTCAAATATTGCAATAAAAATCGCCATTGTTGCCTTAAGCTGTATTTTAAGAAAGTAATCCCATCATGCCCTGTTGCTGACATCTTAGTTTGCCAATGTATAACTAAGATTTTTTTTACAGCGATGCTATGCACTCTGTTCTGTAAGCTGGTTTCATTTAAAATACATGTATTTTAATGGAGCAGCAGATTAGTGGTATATTATGAAACATTTTGGATGTAATCTCAGCCC